ACCTCAATGAGGCGTGGATTATTAAAAGAATATTTTTTCAAAAGAATCTTTTAATAATCAGAACCTCAATGAGGCGTAGATTATTAAAAGAATATTTTTTGAGAACCTCAATGAGGCGTGGATTATTAGAAGAATATTTTTTGAGAACCTCAATGAGGCGTGGATTATTAAAAGAATATTTTTTGAGAACCTCAATGAGGCGTGGATTATTAAAAGAATATTTTTTGAGAACCTCAATGAGGCGTGGATTATTAGAAGAATATTTTTTGAGAACCTCAATGAGGCGTGGATTATTAAAAGATTATTTTTTAAGAACCTCAATGAGGCGTGGATTATTAAAAGAATATTTTTTGAGAACCTCAATGAGGCGTGGATTATTAGAAGAATATTTTTTGAGAACCTCAATGAGGCGTGGATTATTAAAAGAATATTTTTTTAGAACCTCAATGAGGCGTGGATTATTAAAAGAATATTTTTTGAGAACCTCAGTGAGGCGTGGATTATTAGAAGAATATTTTTTGAGAACCTCAATGAGGCGTGGATTATTAAAAGAATATTTTTTGAGAACCTCAATGAGGCGTGGATTATTAAAAGAATATTTTTTGAGAACCTTAATGAGGCGTGGATTATTAAAAGAATATATTTTGAGGACCTAAATGAGTCGTGGATTATTAAGAATATTTTTTGAGAACCTCAATGAGGCGTGGATTATTAAAAGAATATGTTTTGAGGACCTAAATGAGGCGTGGATTATTAAAAGAATATGTTTTGAGGACCTAAATGAGGCGTGGATTATTAAAATAATATATTTTGAGGACCTAAATGAGGCGTGGATTATTAAAAGAATTAACCTCAATGAGGCGTATCGGTTATAACGACCACTGTAATTTATTTCCCACGACTACCAAATCACCATGCGCAACCTTTTTCAGAGTTCTTGTCTTACCTTCGTTTTTTTCTATTCATACCTTCCCTAAAAAAACTAAACATTTTTTTTTTCATTTTCAATTTGGTATCATGATTTCAGTTTTACTAAATTTGAGCAATTATTATCGGTAAATGGGTTCTGCTTATCATCTAACTTAAGTGTAGGTTTCGAGTAAATAATTTCCTTAATTATTCTATAAGGCTTTGTGGTGTTATTGTCCGCAGTCGATTGACTGGAATCCAAGAGATAATGATACCAATCTAAATTATTGACATTGGGTGTTTCACCACCCAGCTCTGATGGTAGGATGTCCTTAGATACTAATTCATGTAAAGAGTTAAGATTCGTGCCATGGATATAAAAACGTTCTTTGATTTTCTCCTTTAAAAAAGGTTTGATGACCGACAGCGCCAATTCCACATACCAGGGTTGGGCTATGAAATGTATACCCTTGAATTTAATGGGCATGCAGTCCTGTGAAAGAAGAGGAGATGTTATTGAAAATGTTTTGTATGAGGGTCTTTGAGTGCGTTTGACTTACTTGTAATCCCTCAATCATGGTTTTTAATATTTTCGGTGTTAAGTATGACGACTGTTTAAAGGTGAAATTCGTCCAGTCCACAATAACCACAAACCCCAATGCCTGATTTTGTACATCTTCGAGGAGTTTGTCAAGTGTCAGCAATAGGGCTCTGTAGATATCCAATAAACTATATTTACTGGTATTCCAATTGGCTGCGGTAAATGTTATAACTTTCCGACCACGACGATCACGCTGATTCAGTAGCCCCGGATTACCATCCCTTAGGGCTAGCTGTATTTGTTCATCAAATATATTGATATCTCTCAGAATTTGAGCATTATTTTGTTTATATTGTAAATATTTTATTAACAAGTCCATAGCTTGATCACAATCAAATTTTCGAGCATGTAGGAAACGGGATAGGAAACAATCATCACTGCAAAAAGATTTCTCTTTTAGGGCCAAATTAAGGCTGGATGCTGCCATATCATTAAATTTCCTTAATAAATACTGATGATTTTTCACTGAATTGTGATTCTTTTTGGCCAGCTCATGCTCGTGATAACAGGATGCGGGGAGGGTTCGATTGTTGTACGCCCGATTGACAGTGTATTCGAAATATTCCGACATCTGAAAAAGAGATTAAAAAATACCAAAGATTAATACAAAATAAGAAAGCAAATAAAAATTCGTTTTACATTCTCCCATCTCTTCATGGAGGTTTATCACCCACTGTGCATCCCAAATTTTCACATTCCCATTTATTTCATTCGATTCAGTCATTGAACAAAAAAAAAAAAAATAAATAAATAAATAAATCGCTAGACAAGATAGATATTAAATCGCCTACTGCGTTTATAATTGTGATTATCAAATTTGTAACGGTGGGTATATTTTTGGAATGGCGCAAATTGCATTACATTGACCCGATTTTAATCAGCGGTATGACCAAAAAAATTATAACACAATTTATTTTTATTGCGGCAAGCATTGAACTTTTGTTACACTGGCTCGTGTCAATAGCGAGTATTTGATAATGGATGTCCAATTGTAAAGCTGAGATAAGAGGATGAAAACCAAAACAATTGTCTCCCATACGAAGTTCATAATTGAAAATTTCACGTGGGTTTGTTGGTGATGAATGCCAACATCTTCGAAGTAGGCTAAATATTTGTAAATGGTATTTGAACAAAAAAGTTATTTATTTTATCAAGGGGATCTACAAGCGGGGGTTTTTAAGTATATTTTTCAGAGACTAAAGATAGGTGAAGATTTTTTAAAAATATTTTTCAACAGATATTATAGACGTTCTAATTTTTATACCCTTCACCACACTGTGGTACAGGGTATTATGTCGTTGGGCATATGTTTGTAACATTCAAAAGGAAACGAGATAGACACATGGTTCCTGTCGAGAATATCCATAGAACCACTTTCTGAGTTGATCCATAGAATCACTTTCTGTCCGTCCGTCTGTCCATGTTAAATTGTAAACAAAGTACAGGTCGCATTTCTGATCCGAATTGGATGAAATTTGGCATAGCTCATTTATTTGGCCCAACGACGAACCCTATTGAAATTGGGAAAAATCGGTTCAGATTGAGATATAGCTCCCATATATATTTTAGTCCGATTTAAGGTAAACGGTCCCTATATATCTTTCGATTTGCACGAAATTTGGTACAGCATAATGAATTAGGTCTAGAATGATGTCTGCCAAGTTTCGTGAAAATCGGTCAAGTATATAGTTTCGTCCGATTTCATGTAAATAGTGCCCCAAAGTCCCTATAAATTCCTCGATTTGCATGAAATTTGGCATAGCGTACTGAAGTAAGTCTGGAGTGATGCGTGCTAAGTTTCCTGAAAATCGGTCTGGATTTAGATATAGCTCCCATTAATATTTTCGTCCGATTTAAGGTAAATAGTGTACCAAAGTCCCTATATATCTTTCGATTTGCACGAAATTTGGCACATTGCACTTAATTGAGTCTAGAATGATGTGTGGTAAGTTTCGGGAAAATCGGTTTAGATATATATATATATATATTTGCGTCCGATTTTTTGTGATACCGATTTTTGTGAAATTTGGCATAGCGTCCTGAATTGCGTTTAGAATGATGTGTGTTAACAGCCTGTTTTTGTAAAATTCTAAACGAACGAATTCGAGTGACTTACGACCAAACCTTTGTTTATGTAAACAAATATTTTTTGATTCAAAACAAAAATAAATGACATATATTTCAAAACCAAGGAGTTTGGTCGTAATTCACTCGAATTCGTTTGTTTAGAATTTTACAAAAACAGGCTGTAAGTTTTGTGACAATTAGTCCAGATTTAGATATAGCTTCCATATATATTTTCTTAATTTCTTCCATATATATTATGTTAATGGATCACCAAAGTACCTATATCTCTTTCGATTTCCTCGAAGTTTGGCACAGTATATTGAATTAAGTCTAGAATGATGTGTGCTAAGTTTCGTGATAATCGATTTTGGTTTAGCGCATTGAATTGAGTCTAGAATTACATATGTATATTAAGTTTCGTGAAAATCGGTTCAGATTTAGGAAATTTGGTATGGCGTACTAAATTAAGTCTAGAATGGTGAATGATGATGAACCTGAAAATCGGTTCAGATTTTGATATAACTCACATACATATGTATTTTCGTCCAATTTAATGTAAATGTTGCACCAAAATTCCTATATATCTTTCGATTTCTAACAAATACTACATAGCGCACTGAATTGAGTATAGAATGAGGCGTGTTTAGTTTCATATGTACAATATACATAAAGTGGTGAATGGTATCATATAGTCGGCCCAGTCCGACTTTATTACTTTCCTTACTGGTTTAAAAGTAATTTTTCAAGGCCTACCACAAGAGGTGGATTTTCTTCAAAATATTAAATTTTTTTGAGGGGGAACCTATTGTTCTCCAATAGATATTAGACCTTCGAAGATATTTCCGTAGATAAAAGATCTATCAATTGTTGTAGTTCGCTATCTCTGATAAGTACATGCTTTTTAAATTTAGGTCTTCCCCAAAAAAAAAATTACACTTTTTAATGAAATTTAATACTAGTAGTATCGAATTCTCGGGAAAACCTCTTGCGGTTACTAACATAATAATTATAATTAATTTAATATTAAGAACTTTGATTGATTATTCAACCAAGACAAGGGACATTTGTTTATTATCTTTTTTTTTTTTTTTTTTGGTTTCTGTGAAATGGTATCGTAGATAAACAATAAAACAATTGTACGTGCCCCCGGTCCGATTCTGATAAACAACCTCTATGTTCAATGTAGTGCAAGTCATACAATGGCTAATTTGAATCTCATTGTGACGGAGCAGCGGCGGTGGTGGTGGCGACAACGACATTAACTTCTTTTTTCGGCTTGGTTCGCGATTGTTTGATTGCTGTTGTTGGTATCGGTACACGTAATAGACGTATGTGCTGTATGTAGATAACATAGTCAATATATGCATACACACATATCCAACGGGAGTACCTCAAGCGGAAACATTATTTCCGTTTGCCACAAAAACAAAAAAACGCACAAATTTTCCCGAACACCTTTCTTGATTTGAATTAAACAGCAGCTGACGTTTTTATGTCGCCTCCTCCTCCTCCAACAATCCGTACGTCCATATATGAACTATGACTACGACGTGTGCCACAATCCGACATAAATACAAACATGCATACATAATAAATTAGTAGAAGGAAGAAATGGTAGATAGGAAATAGAAAGCAAAAGATGATAATTCCCATTTTTTGTCGTTCTGGTTTGATGGAGAAACAACAACAACAACAAAATTACCACTATAATGCGGAGGTGGGCGTTTGATCACGGTTTTATCGTGGCCCAAATATCTCTCTTAAAAGTCATTGAAATTTAAGTGAAAGACAATGGGTTTGTTATTGTTATCATGATCCGTGACTTAAACATGAACGTGAGTTGGTCGTGAGTCGGCATATCGAATATGAATAAGAAACGAAGCGTGGATTTTTAAAAGAATATTTTCTTCAAAGAATTTTTAAAAGCGGGGATTTTTTAAAAATGTATTTTCAAGGCCTAACACAACGCCTGGATTTTTAAAGAATAATATTTTTCAAGGCCTAAAACAAAGCGTGGATTTTTAAAAGCCTGACAAAAATTAGACCATTTGTGTGTTAGAGGGTGTGGACCAATGGATCCCATCTTCGGGCTTGATCTAGGCATGGTAAAGATAATAATCAATCAAATCGGACATTCAATTCGCCAGATATTGGATTTATAAATATTGAAAATGTTGACTCTTTGTCGAAATCGATTATTTCCTTCGAGAGCTATCGTACGCACCAGCCAGCCAGAAGTCGGTCAACGACGGACATTTGTAAATCGACTCCAAATTTTTTGAAGCTGATTTGGTCCAAAAAAAAAAAAAAAAAAAACAATATTTCGATGAGGCACATTTTTACCGTATCAATGTGTATATACCCCATTAGCCATAAGGCTGAGGGTATAAAATGGGTTACATGGGTATAAAATGGGTTACATGACTACCCCTAAAAGGGGCGAATATTAATAATTTTTGGGAGTGAAATTTGTTAGCATATACGTCTACAAAATACCAAATTACAGCGAATTCGGTTCTAAACCGCACTCAAGAACCTCAAAATACCGAAAATTGGGGGGTACCCTTATATAGGGGCTACCCGAAGAAATTGACCTATATTTTTAATTTTTAGTGGAGAGATTTGTTACCCACTAAGAAACGAAAGTACTAAATTTCAGCAAATTCGGTTAAAAAAGCCCTTGAGAACCCCAAAATGTGAAAAATTGGGTATACTGTTATATGGGGGCTACCAGAAAAAGTGAACCGATATTTAGAATTTTTAGTGGAGATATTTGGTACCCAATAAGACCTCAAAGTACTAAAACACAGCCAATTCGGCCGAAAAATGCGATCAGAATCCCCAAAATACCGAAAATTTGGGGGTACCTTATATGAGGGACACCCGAAAATTGTTCTACATCTTTTATTTTTAGTGGAGTAATTTGGTATCCCCATAAGAATCCAATGTGCCAAATTTCAGCGAATTCAGTTATAAAACGCGCCCAAGAACCCTAAAATATCGAAAAATAGTGGGGGCTATCCGAAAGAATGGACCCATTCTACCGAATTTCAGCGAATTCCCTTGATTAGCCCGCTCAAGAACCCCAAAATATCGAAAATTGAGGGTACCCTTATATGGGGGCAATGCCTAAACGTAGACCGATATAATAAATCTTCGAACATGACATGTCTGCAGAGAAAAGACAAACCAAATAGTCCTGGAATTCATAACGAAATATTCGACCAAAATAGGCGTGGATTTATTAAATGAAATATTCGACAAAATAGGTGTGAATTTATTAAATGAAATATTCGACCAAAATAGGCGTGGATTTATTAAAAGAAATATTCGACCAAAATAGGCGTGGATTTATTAAATGAAATATTCGACCAAAATAGGCGTGGATTTATTAAAAGAAATATTCGATCAAAATAGGCG